GGCTGGGGGGCCCCCCCCCCCCAAGGGGGGCCCCCCGGGCCTCCCCAGGGGCCCCTGGGGGGGCCCCCGGGCCCCCAGCCCGTAGAAGGAGTTTATGAAAATGTAAAAGAAGCTGCGGACAAGCAGCAGCAGCAACGCAGCAGCAGGGAGTTCAGCAGCAGCAGCAGCTGCTGCTGCTGCTGCTGCAGCAGCAGCAGCAAGAGCAGCGAAAAAAGCAGCAGCAGAAGTTGCAAGGGCGCCGGGGAGGCGCGGAACGCCGCTCAGCTGCTGCTGCTGCTGCTGCTGCTGCTGTGACCCAGCAACAGCAGCAGCAGTAAAGGCAGCAGCAGCAGCAGGAACAGCAGCAGCAGCTCATGTGTGTACCATCACAATAGAGATAAAAAGAGGGGAATCAAACAGCAGCAGCAGCAGCAGCAGCAGCAGCAGCAGCAGCAGCAGAATTACAACAAGAAGGATAGCAGCAGCACCACCATCACCTCCAGGAAACCAAGAACAACAGCAGCAGCAGCAGCGGCAACAGCAGGAGCAGCAGCAACAGCAGCAGCAGCAACAGCAGCAGCAGTTCCCGTGTGGACGAATGCAATGGAAGACAAAGATGGAAGTAGAGCAGCAGCAGCAGCAGCAGCAGCAGCAGCACCAAAACAGCAACAGGAACAGAAGCAGCGCCACCACCACCGCCGAGAAAACCATAACAGCAGCAGCAGCAGCAGCAGCAGCAGCAGCAGCTCACGTGTGGACAAACACAATGGTGAGGCAAAGGAGAGAATAAAGCAGCAGCAGCAGCAGCAGCAGCAGCAGCAGGACCAAAACAACGACAAGAACAGCTGCAGCACCGCCATCACCGCCAAAATAACCACAGCAGCAGCAGCAGCAGCAGCAGCAGCAGCAGCAGCAGCAGCAGCAGCAGCAGCAGCAGCAGCAGCAGCAGCTCACGTGTGGACAAACACAATGGTGAGACAAAGGAGAGAATAGAGCAGCAGCTGCAGAAAAAATCTTCTGTTGTAAAAGCCGACGCAGTTGTTTATCCAGGGGCAGTGGTGGTCCATGTTTAAAATGCTGCAGCAGCAAAATAAAAATAAATAATAAATAAATAAATAAATAAATAAATAAATAAATAAATAAATAAATAAATAAATAAATAAATAAAGAACAAGAAACGGCAACATGGCAAGTGAGATAAGCAGCAAATGATAAACCCTTTTCTAAACCCTTTTCTAAACCCTCGTAAACCCTCGTAAACCCTCGTAAACCCTCGTAAACCCTCGTAAACCCTCATAAACCCTTCTAAACCCTCTTAAACCTTCTAAGCCCTTCTAAACCCTCTTAAACCCTCTCATGCCATCTAAGCCCTCTTAAACCCTCCTAAACCCTCCTAAACCCCTAAACCCTCCTAAACCCTCCTAAACCCTCCTAAACCCTCCCAAACCCTCCTAAACCCTCTCAAACCCTCCTAAACCCTCTTAAACCCTTCTAAACCCTCCTAAACCCTTAAACCCTTAAACCCTCCTAAACCCTCCTAAACCCTCCTAAACCCTCGCTCAAACCCTCGTAAACCCTCGCCCAAACCCTAAACCCTCGTAAACCCTAGACCCCGTAAACCCTCGACCTCTTTCAACCCTCCTTTCAACACTTCTCCGAGAAATAAATTTCCCTCCCAAACCCTAAACCCTTTTCTAAACCCTCGAAACCCCCCGCCTCAGCCCCGCCCCACCCATGCCCCTAAACCCTAAACCCTAAACCCTAAAC